CCCACACTCTTCGCATGTTGTTCCAGCACAACCCGTGGCACCATCCTTCTTCTCCAACTCCTCGTCGAGGTGAAGGCGTGCCAGCTGAGTCGATTCCTCGACCCGTCGGTACTCGTGGGGTCAGCGACCGGCATGAAGCTGGGCTGGTTGACCTGACAGCTTCCCATGAGTCTGACGCGGATTCGGCAGAGTCTTCTCGCGTGCGCCTTCCTGGTCCACCGAGCTTGCCGGGCGAGACCACTTCGGGCGCCACCAATCAGCCAAGCTCGGCTGCTCCAGTGAGTCTTGACTCCATCGTTACTTCGTAGCTCTCTACGATAAGAAGCTCCTTCATGGGAATGTCCCAGTCCAGTGTGTTTTATGGGGTTCTCACTCCTGAAGTTCAAACCGCGTTGGCCCGGCCCGCCCCCGATTGGTGTGAGAGGTATAAGCATATGTGTGGTTGGTGGTAAAGACGCGCGAGGCCCAAAGTTCGTAATGCACACCTGTGATCTTGGTTGTTGCTGTCTACGACCAGCTTTACTCGGCGGTCACTCAGAAGCTCGGCGACGAACCTGCTCCACTGGTGGACGCAGAGGTTTATTTTGATCCGTCCGTTCCTCATTACTCTCCCGTTAACCTTTCGTGGGTTCCTTCCGGGAGAGACTGGGTCCAGTGTGCTCACGATGTGGATCTAGCCGAGCCCTGGCGAGCTTGGTGTCTTACTGACCCGGCGGTCCATCCGTACAATACTTGCTTCCGCGCTCGGAACGTGGACTTCTTGGTTTTCGCTCCGCGCGGTATGGATCCTCAGGTTGTTGACGACGCGATTGAAAGAGATTTCGATCTTGCTGAACAAGCGCCTCCTGCCTATGCCCCGGGTGCTCCAACTCGGCTGAATCGTCAAGGCATTCATATCTTCACTGGGTCTTCGATCGGTGAGCTCGGCTCAGATGGCGAGAGTGCGTCTGATGACGACTCGGCGGACGATGGGTTGGGTTCTCCCAATCTCCGAGGCGCGTCTCCGAGTATGTCTCCGTTCGGCACCCCACTCCCCAGTGGAACGGATCCTCAGCCTACTTCCGCCGCGTCGGGTCCTGAGGCACCTGGTTCGGCGTCAGCTTCGTTGGCTAGCTCGGCGATGATACTTCTTGCCACGGCTGCGAATGTTGCATCTCCTTTCCGCAAGTTCCCAAGGGATGACGTCTGCTACGACGCCACGCCCCAATCGTCGAGTCCGCTGAGCTCTTCCCAGTGGTCTCCGTCGGATTTCAACTCACTTGGATCCGGATCGCCGACTTTTTAGTTTTCTTCCTTTGACTGGGGCGTCCGCGTAGGTATGCGTTCAGGACTTCATTTGCGTATTAATTCGAGTATAGTGTGAGTTTCGACACGAGTAGCATTCAATCTCAACTCGGCCTGTGTCGTCCGCCGAGTTGGTGTAACTTTTGGTGCAATAGCTGTTAATCCTCATCTGCAACTTGCACCATTTGCAGACGGTTTTCGCGCTTCTTCTGTCGTAGATAGTCAAACAGGAGACCTCCGCATGACAAATTCGACAGTGGTTCCCAAGTAGGCTCATCGTAGCCGACCCACTTAACTTTAAACTTCCGTTGTGATCGTGACGTACTTGTGGATAATGGTAGCTCGTCGTCGAGAATTGCTTCGACTTCATACTGGTTCGTACTTGTGTCTGGTTCCCAGCTGTCTTCAGGCAGTAATTCTTCATCAAAGTCAAATCGCTGAGTCTCTTCGAGGTCGGCGATCAGCCTCGTCTTTGGTCTACCGCCGAGTTCGGTGACTGCCTTCAGACGTGATACATGGACCACTGGGTAGAACCTATATCCACTCTTGTCGGGTAACTCCAATTCATAGGCGAATTCTTCCACCTTCTTCTTCACCCTGAATGGTCCATGCCATCGGTGGGCTAACTTCTTGGTCAGGCCCGACTTGACTCGCTCCATAAACAACCAGACTTGATCTCCTTCTTTGAACAAGGATTTGGTGGATTCATCGCCTGGTTCTGCAACTTCATCTTCGTCATCTGCTGTGTTGGGAATGGATCTTTTCTCCTTCTTGCTCAACGCTTCGTTGTGCTCTCGAGCTCGTCGTGCTTTCTCTCGCACTTGGAACTCAGCTGCTAATCGAAGTGCCACTTCTCGTTGTCTGTTCGCTTCTCGGCGCCACTCGACTGCGTCCGCCGAGTTGACTGGGCGTCTCTGTCCACGTCGTATTGAACTCGTCATAGCCTTGAGTGTAGACTTGGCGTCCCAACCATGTACCAGATAGAAAGGGGTTTTCTCGCCGAGTCGAATCTCTTGAGTTGTTGATAGCGTGTACCATCTTCTCGGCGATGTCATCCCAGTCGGCTTGAAGTGGGTCTTCCACGTAGACCCGTATAGTCTGAACCATTGTCTTGACTTACCTCTCTTGTTGGGGGCCATATGGTCACGAATCTTAATATTCGAGTGGGGATAAACACTGGGGGGCTGATGGCTGGTGTGGTGGGGATCCGGAACCCTCGCTTCAAGTTGTTTGGAGACACGGTGAACGTTGCTTCACGTATGGAGACGACGAATTTACCAGGCCAGATTCAGATCACGGAGGCGACTCATAACGCCATTTACCACAAGAAAGGCAGCTGCAGGCCGAGCTCCGCGGCTGATGATTTGACTTCCCAAGACTCCAGTGGCAG